CTTAAACTACCAGCCACTTTATGACCCTAAAAGAAATAGAACAAATACACCTAATATAAATGATCTACTTATAGACTCGAAAACCCACGTAAAATAATCAATGATTATGGATACCAGCATCGTCCTATTTTCTTACGCGACAAAAAAATTAGAGTTACTTGAAATGACGCTCCAGTCACTCATAATAAGGCTTTTTATTGTTTTAGGAAAAAAACAAGTTGTTACCAAATAATTGATTCCAACCTTGCTCATTTATAGCGCTCTAAATGAAGGCTGGCGGTCCCCCTTTTATTTCTCCTATTTTTAAACTCCTTACTTTTCGTTGTGACTGGTCAGAATGTTCATACTTTGTCATAAATAACAGTGAAAAATTCAAAGCTCATCAACTACATCATTTTGAGGTATAAATTCGCTTTCGAAGTTTAATGCTCCTATGGCCTTTTTATTTACGAAATTCTTGTATCTTTCGATTAACATCATGAATTAATGAATTAACCTTATTTCAAATTAAGTTTAGGTTACATTTTTTACCTGCTATATGTATTGTTCATTATTTTATCCGAGCCTTGGCATACATTATTGATACTTTGTCGTTAGTTGTTTTTAGACGGGACTTTACTAAGTGAACATTGATTAGCTTCGCTTAATTTTTTTGGCGTTTATTTAGCCACTGTTAAATAGCTTAAATTCAGTTACTTCTGAGTGAAATATTTATATTTATTGCTTTCGTTATGTCATTCGTATGCTACTTAGTAGTGGCAAAAAATCATGTATTGTGCTATACCTGCGTTATTCAAATCATATTATAATTAACCTTGCGTCATGAGGATGCTCAATTATGAATAATTTTTGTATCAGTTCTCATTGTGTTTATTTCTTAAAAACGTTAAGGATTGGTTTGTTACGTCGCTTTAAGTAGATTATTACTGTAATTAGAAGCAATTTTTAACTCTTCCTTCTGGTTAAATATACGCAACTTGTTCCCCATTTTGTTAGTGTAAGTTATTTAATAAAGCGAAATATTTAGCAAGCTTAAGATTAATTGTTCCTGTCCTTGGATGTTTATTTTTGTCGATTAGCACCCATGTGCATATTCCTTTATTCCCCTTTTTGAAACAGATTATTCTTTTTACAGAAGACGTTGGAATGCTTTCTTCGGGGCTCATTACCGCTAGAGGATTTTGTTTGTGGGATTTGCGGTACCCGATTGGATAAACTAATGCCTCCAAATTATGTTCAGGAATCATGCTATCCATTTAAGATGGAGGACGTAAATGGAAAATCATTCTCCTCTTCACTCCACTCAATAAACTTGCTAAGGGCTGCTTTAGAGCGGCACTCATACTACCATGCCTGGGTAACTGGATTGCGGGAAAAAGGCAGATTATTACAGCAACAGCGCAAAGATCCCATTGTCGAAGTTTCAGACAGTCTTAATGCGAACTCCAAGGGGTCATCTATACAACTTGGAGAGCCTTGGCCAGATTGTAAACTCGATCGTAGCATGCTACATTCGGTTCCTCTTCTTCCTGGGCCTTTGGAATGTGGTTGGGAATTTTGCGACTTCAAAACAAATGATGTCGATGTTTTGATTTCTCATGCTAGCTCGCATGCTCAAGTGAGTCTATACTTTTGTATTTATTGTGAGCTTAAGGATTTCATTCTGACTTGAATCAACTTCTTTTACGAACGCCTAAAATTTATAAAAAGCGATTAAGCTTTGTTATTAGCCATAATTCCATTCTGAATGCACTTGTAATA